GCCCCCCCCCCCCCCCCCCGAGTGGGTTTGCAGAATTGTGATGTTGCTTCTATTTTCCAAGTAAATACTTTTGTTGTTTTTTTTTATTATGTGCTTCCTATCTTGGTAATATTCATAAGCTGTTAATCATAGCAAATATCTGCTGTATGTAGGTTTTTAACATGCATTGTTTTTCTGCCCTCTCAGGAACATACTTGCTTGGAAGGATTTAAAGAAAGAACAAAAAATGTTCCCTTTGAAGGATGCTGAGATGGGTGCTTCCACCTTCTTTGCCTCAGCTCTCCCACATGATGTTTGTGGAAGCAATGGTCTTCCTTTGACACCCAACTCCATCAAAATTTTGGGGCGCTTCCAAATTCTTAAGACAATCTTTCATCCCAGACTTTGTCAGTATGTGGACATTACTAGAGGAAAACATGGTGAGTTCCATGGAAATTGTGTGCGCGCCCATTTAGGTATCTTACAACGGTTTTGTTTAGATCTTTGAAGACAATTATTCTCGTTTAAATTTTGCCCTTTCGGCTTGCATCAAAAAACCTGGATTACCTTTTTGTTGCTGTTCTTAAAGTATTAAGGCATTTCTGTTCTGACAAACTGCATCAGTGTTTTTTCTAGTCCCCTCCTTTACCCTCCCCCCACCCCACCGATCCTTACCCCCAACCTCTCTGATGCACATGTACAAAGCACATGTAGATGGTTTGGTTATGCATCTTTAATCTAATTATTGTCATACGATCATGCCTTAGATCTTTCCTCTTTTATTTCCTATTTACAGTTCCACAGATTCTTTCATGAATTCTGTAAGTGTCTTGTTGTTCACTTGTCTTGGAGGTGTCTGTGATTCGTGTATCGGTCTCCCCCCTACCTCCGTTCTATTTTAAGCCTTTTTTTGGTCTTCTGCAATATACAGAAATGTTTTTGACTAAAGGCCATCTTAAAATTCTCTTCTTAATCTTCAACTTCAGTCAATTAATTTATGAAGTTCATGTTAATCCTTGAAATGCAAACTAGAAATACCTTACTTTTTGTTTACAAGATGATTCATTGTAAACTACTGCATTGTTCACTTACTACACAGCTTTTAAACTATTTATCTTTGTTTACTTAATTTGGGCAATGATTATTTATTTAAATGTTCTTTGCCAGTATAAATTAGAAGCCATTTGTTAAATGATCATCTGAGAAATGATTGTTCCTGTCACTTCTTCAAGGACGAAACTAATGGATAAAGCATTTTTCAAGTGGCTAAGCATACTGTTGTCTGTATTCCCATGACTCACTGAATAAGGTATATCCAGATGAGGGAGGTTTAAAATGGGTGGCTTTTTCCATAGTGTGCTCATGTATTTGGTGATTCTCTCTGTGTTCCACTGTTGTCTGGTTCTTGAAGTGTTCCTTCCATATGTGCTTACCCACTTTGGCTGTGTGAATGTACTCAAGATGTACTACGCAGTATTCTGGTACTGGCTTAATGTTCACAATGTAACATCCATTGGTGTTCTTTCCACTGGTTCAGGCTGTCAGCTTAAATATTGTCCTTGCCTGTTTCTTGTTCTAATAGATAGATCTAACATGCTTTGGTGGAAATTGTTTTAAGTAGCAAATTATGTTTTTTAAAAAGATTCTCTGTTTCTATTCCCTGAAGATTTTATTTGACAGTTGACATAGTTAGAAACTTAATTTGTTTAATAAATAGATCCTTAGAATCACCAAGCTGTTCCTCAATACATTTTTATTCTTAAGAACCTACAAGGGGTATACTTAAATCACGAATAAACTAAACAATTTTGCAGGTTGGTCACAACATATAAATAGCAAATTCCGCAGATGTTCCCTACCCCTTGGCACTGACTGGCAAAGAGACTCCCGAAGCGGGGGCAGGGATGCGAGGGCAGTTGCCATCTTGTCTTCTCCCCTTTGTGCTGCCTTGCCAGCTAGCGCCTCCATCCCCATGAGGCTGGCCTGCAGCAGCAGTGAAGACCACTGGCTCCCACTATATTTTTATTAAGTTTTGTGTTTTGTCTTGTTTTGTGTTTTTCAATTGATCTTTTTTGTGGACAATCCCAGATCTTGCAATTCTGCAAAATCCATGGAATTGCAAATTGATTACACCCTTACTTACAATCCAGTCTTGTATTAGGATTTTTGTCAAATTAGTAGAGTTTACAATATTACCCATTGGGATTTTTGTGGTGTGTGTTAACTTCTTGTTGGTTTAAAAAGTTTGGTGCACAACTAAATTTTAACAATGTGCCTTTAATCCAGGTTTGCAAATAGGATTTTTAAGAACAATATTGTCTTTGTATTCAAATAAACATAAAATTAACTTTCAAATATTCTTATGCTGCCTTAGGCAACCATAGGACAACCTGATTAGCAGGGATCCTGGTTTTCTCTAATTTTAAAAAAAACAAACAAAAAAACCCCCAAATTATCTGATTAAAACCTCCAAAATCCACGTTTTACCGTCATTAAAATGAAACGTCACTTGTGTGTGCACGCATGTGTGTCAGTTGAACACAATGTTTTATTGATATATTTACCATTTGAAAGCCTTACCAGTGCCTCAGTCATAATAAAATAAATTCTAAATACCTATATATTTTGGCATTTGATTTTTGGTGTGTGTTACCATGGAAAATCAGCGCTTCCCTTACCCCCTTCGCTCCCCAGGATGCAGGTCCAGCTGTGGCTGTTCCCCCTCCTGATTTGTGGCACTGAGCAGCCCTGATATGGTAGTGTGCTGTCGCTGCCCATGCCATTGTCATTCATTCTCAAGCCACAGCCCCCTGCTGCCCCCAGCTGTGCTGTGGCAGGGCAGCTACTAGGGCTATGAGACCAAGCAGCTGCATTGTGCCTGCTCCAGGCCCCACAGGTGCCAGCTACAGCTGCTAGCAATGTCCAAGGCATGGCTGCTGTGTGCAGGAAGCAGTGGCTGCTGCAGCCAGAGCAGAGGGAGGAGCATGAAGCCTGGGCCCCTGCCTGTGAGCAATAGGGCCAGAGCAGAGTCTGGAGGGGAGGGGAGAAGCATGTGGGCTGCTTGCTGTAGGGCTTAGACCTCCCCACCCTGCTGCCCTCCCCCCTGGGAGCCTCCGCAGGGTGGGGAGACTTGGTGTTACTACCAGCCACATGGCTATGCCAAGGCTCCCCCTGCCCACC